AGGTAGATATGTATCCTGGTAATAATTTTTAAACTAATTGCTTTACAAATAATTATATTTTGCTTTCTGATTTGGAAAAACAGTTTTCATAAATGAGTGACTGACTGTCAAATGAAATGACCACACAACTTTTAAAATGTAACTATTTGTTTTAGCTCTTTTTCCTTTGTTGTCTTAACTAAAGTTTTGTAAATTCCATAGATCTAATTTTTGAACCAAATTTTCTTTTTCTATTTCTTTTTTTCTTGTTTTGCTTATTGTTTCCATATTTTTGCTATAAAGTTTTCTCCTATATTGTCACTCTAATCTTTATTATGTTCTCTTTTCTGGGGTTCTGGGGTGTGTGTGTGTGTGTGTGTGTGTGTGTGTGTGTGTGTCTGTCTGTCTGTACTAGCTCTCTAGCAAAGCTTTTGTTGTATCCTACAAGTTTTGGTTTATCCTATCTTCATTTTTCATTTTCCTCAAACTGTTTTCTCATTTCTTTTATTCTCTTCTTTGATCCATCATATACTTAGAAGTACATTATATTTACTTTTCATGTATTTGTAAATCTTCCAGTTTTCTATCTATTATTCACTTTTGTCTTTCTTTCATTGTAGTTGGAGAATATATTTTGTATTATTTCAAGCTTTCTAAATGGATTGAGATGTGTTTTGTGATTGAAGATAGGGACATAGTGTGGGCTGTCCTGGGGAATGCCCCATGCTGGCATTGGGTTATTTTCTATATATGTCTGTTAAGTCTGGTTGATTCACAGAGTTGTTTAAATCTTTTCATCACGTTATATTCCTTTTAAGATGCTTATGCTTTATTAAAATTGGCATATTAAAGCTTCCAACTATTATTGTAAAACTGTTGGTCAGGCATGGGGGTGCACACCTATTACCTAACACACGGGAGGCTGAAGCAGGAGGATTGTCATGAGTTCAAGGCCATCCTGGGCTAAATACTGAACTCGAGATAGCCCAAACTACATAGTGAAAAAAAAAAAGATCTATCTATGTCTTCACATTTATCAGTATTTGTTTTATATTTTCTAGGACTGTTGTTTTGCATGTTGTATGTTTATAATGGTTATGTGTCCTGAATAAACTGAAGCTTTTGTCAACATATTACATTCTTCTAACATGTTACTGCAAAAGATTTAACTAAAAGACAATGTTGTTTCATATCAATGCAGATATTCTAGCTCTTTCTTGGTTAATATTTACATGGACTATACTTTTTCATCCTTTCTCTTTCAATCTATAGTTCCCTTGGGTCCAAAGTAAGTCTCTTATAAACATCATTCAGGTTGATTATGAGGTTTTGTTCTCATCTATTCTATTAATAAATGCCTTTATGTTAGACAGTTTAATCCAATGATTGCAATAAAGAAATCACTGATATGAAAGGACTTCTACCATTTTTTCTGGTTTGTTTCCCTATAACTTGAAACTATGGCATTCATTTCCATGATTACTACTTCTTTGTTTAATTGGTTTATCACAGGGATATTACTGCTTGGGTCTTAAATGTCTCCCATATAATAAAGGCTTTGAGCCCTCCTGTGGCATTTAGGGCAGATGACAGAATCTTCAAATCTTTAGAAAGTGGGACTTTTTGGAAGGAAGTTAAGTCACTGGGGGATGTTCTGAAGGGCATGTTGGGGCCTTGCTCTGTCTCTCTGTATCTGTCTTTCTGTCTATCTCTCCCTGCCTGTCTCCCTCTCTTCCTCCATCCCTCCCGCCCTTGTCTTCCTGGCCACCATGAAGGCAGTAGCTCTGTTCTGTTATCTGCTCCCATCCATGATGCTCTCTGCCTCACCACAGGCCTCAAAACAATGAAGTCCACTGACCATAAACTAAATATTGTAAAACACATGTCAAAATAAACCTTTCCTCCTTTAAGTCAATTTTAGTAATGGAAAGCTGACTAAATCAATTGCGTGACTAATACAAGTGTTCATTTTTCTTTCTTCCTCATTTCCTTTTACATATACATTTTAGTTTTTTCTTAGTGCTTCCTATGAGATTGTAATTAACTCCCAAAATTTATAACAGGTTGATTTACATTAACATTAATTTATCTTCAAAAGCTTATAAACACCCTAAATAGCTCCATTCTTCCCTTCTTGTCTTTTTGTCAAAAATTAATGCATGTTATTGTGTGCCCAGTGACACAGATACATAATTACTTTTATACTATAATACTTTTAAGAAATAGAATCAGAGTTACAAAATCAGAGTCAGTAATACTGGCTCTTGTGGTTTTGTAATTGCACCACTTATTGCTTTATTTCTTTATTTGAGTAAGACTTACTGCACAGACTCTTTTTATATCACTCCTAAAAATTCTCTTTAACATTCTCCACAGGACAGTTGCGCTGATCACAAATTCCTTTAGCTTTGATTTATTCAGAAATAATTTAATTTCTCCTACATTTCTGAAGCATAGTTTTATCAAATCAGCAATTATCTAAATTGATAATTTTTATTTATTTCTCTCCTCTCAGTCCTTTAAATTTAAAACTTGAAGCTTTTTATGTGATCTGGCACAAGCCTTTTATCCAACTGTCATTGAGAACTCCCTATTTCATTAAGCCTTAGCCATACTGACTCTGTGTTTCTTTTCTTTTTTATTTTAAAGAGGATAAAACAGAATAAAACCAATCAAAACAAACCAGTGTAAGAGACACAGAACTTCAAAACATTATGAAATCAACAACAGTTACCACAGTGCCTTTTGATGTCTTCAAAATAGGGGCAGATAACTTCAACATAGTAAAAATCAAACAGAAGAGAATAGAATAGAAACAATAAAAACAAAACAATGAATGCAATAAAGGATTTCAAAACAAGCCAATAGCAAATCCAAAATTACTACCATAATATATCTTGCTATCTTTGAAATAGCTGCTCCTGCCATCAGATTTAACATAATCAAACAAAACAAAAGAGAAAACGCAACAAAACAATGGAAACTATACAGAACTTCAAAACAAGACTATAGGGAACCAGCAATGGCTACCACTCTCTGAAACAGATCCCCCCCAGATGCCACACTGCATACTGCTATCCTCTGAATCCAGGATCAGAGCATTGGTCCTAGAACTGTGTTGTTAGTGAAACACCAAAGCACCCCAGGCATCCAATTGCATTTCACCCTGATAGCAACCATCACAGCCTGTGTTTCTCCATATAAGCCAGTCCCTCATGCAGGGTAGGGGTGGGGGATGATTGGTGCCTTTTTTGCCAGCCCTTGCTCAGGAAGGGCTGAGGTCTTGCTGTTCCCAGGCCGGCGGGGGCCTACACATGGCACTGTTCCCAGACTGGGCTTGCTTCCCGGTGCGGCCTTCCTCTCTCCCCGCAGTCCACGAATGGCACTCACTCACAGGGAGAAGCTTGGATCTGGCTGTTGTTCCGTCTGATGGTGGCCCGCACATGGTGCTGACTCTGTGTTTCTTGAACATGGCTAACTTTCTTCTAGCCATGGGCTTGGCACTTGCTGCTTGGTGCCTGCTCTTTTGCATAACTGCACTTTTTCTTGTCTTAAAGTTCATTTCAAAAGTCCCAAAGAGTTCTGTTCACTGAATCCCTTAATTCATCAAAAAGTATGTAACTTATTTTTCCAAAGCATTTTTTCATGTCTATAATTTCCATGATTCATTTAATTATTTCTGTATTATCTACCCATCTTTCCACTTTCTCCCAAGTAAGGAGAGACCTTGTTCTATCATGCTCACCATAGAATTCCAGTACTTGGTGCCCTGCACATCATGTCCATGATAAGCATAACTGAATGAATGATTCTAATAAACACCACATTCTCCATACAGTATTACCATATAGAAAGAGCTTAATGACATGAATAAAAGGGGACGAGCAAACTCCTACCACACTCAGAAAATATAGGCTATGGGACAGCTGTTATGTTCTCCTGGATTCCAAAGTCTCGTGGCTTGGTTAATTTTAACCTTTAATGCTGCAAATTTGTTTGATGCAGTCATTCTGATGCCACTGGGGTGATAAGAAACTTGACACAATACTCAGTTCCTGGTTATAGTCACTCTAACATTGAACGTATACCATGAAGTGAGTGCACAAACATGGATCAATGACCTTTGCTATACTTGTGGACCAAACCAAATATGACAACTGGCTTGCAGTAATCCTTTGTTTATTTTGGGTTTTTCCATTTTTTTTATAAAGTAGATGACTTGGATGCCATTTCTTGCATTGAAATGGCATCTGTGCAATTTAGAATACTATCCGTGCTTTTCCTACCGGCTATCCTGATTTTGACTCCAAGGAACTCTTCTCACACTCTGTGTGCCTCAACTGGCCTTTTATATCGCCTACTCCACTCTTGTAAATGATAAACTTTTTACATTTAACTCAAAACACATCACTTGGAGAAGTGAAAGACACCTAGTTTGCAACATGCTGAGAAAATGCCAACTCAAGAAAAACAACCAGAAAGTAAGAAAATACTGCCCATAAATTGGTCAAGATAAAAAAGTATAGTATTTAGATAATACTATAATTATTTTCTCCTTATCTGAATATGCTGTCCTACCTTTAGATCATCATTGTCTACATAATATACTCAAGGAAACTGTATTAGCTTAATTTTTGCTAAATTTTCACTGAACAACTTCACATAAATATAACATTCATCTTTAATATGCCTGAACAAGAAATGAGAAACTTTTTTCTGCATTTATTGTAATTTTTTATAATGTTCAGCACATGATTCAAAAATTTCTCTGCCAATTCATATATGATAATGTCTTTTTGAAATTTTTTCACATGACCACACAGTACATCATGGTTATATTTTCCATTATAGCCTGGGTTTAGGAAACTGAGCGTAAAAACTGATGCTTAATCTTAGCAGGGATAGCAAACTTTAAATTTAAAATAATACTAATTCTCACTTTCACACTCATGGGTTTTTAAAAGTCAGCTATGAAAACTACTTATGATTAAATACAAAAAAATTTTTAATAAAAAGCATATTCATTGCAAAGATCCTTTTCTTCTTAAAAGCTTTATGAGTGCATTTTTCACTTCCTTGTTCCTCAGACTGTATATCAAGGGATTCAGCATGGGAATCACAGTAGTATAAAACACTGAGGATACTTTCTCCTGGATGACTGAACTCCTGGAAGCAGGTTTGAGATACATAGACATCAAAGACCCATAAAATATAATAACAGCCATTAGGTGGGAGCTGCAAGTGCTAAATGCTTTGGATCTTCCCTCTTTAGAATGGATGCAGAGGATGTTGGTGAGAATAAAGGCGTATGAAACTATTATGGTCAGGCTGGTGGCTACCATGTTAAATCCACCAATGCTAAAAATCAAAAGCTCATCAATGTAAGTTCTGGAACAGGAGAGTTTAATTAGAGGAACAATGTCACAGAAATAATGTTTAATGACATTTGGCCCACAGAAAGACAACCTCAGTGTACAACCTGCATGAATCACAGCATCAACGAGGCCTATGGAGAAGACAACAGCCACCAGCACAAAACAAACCTGCGGGGACATGATGACATGGTAGAGCAGGGGGCTGCAGATGGCCACATAGCGATCATAGGCCATGGCTGCAAGCAAGTAGCATTCAGAAATAACAAAAATACAGAAAAAAAACAGTTGAGTCATGCATCCAGAATAGGAGACAGATTTATCCCTGCTTAAAAACCCTATCAGCATTTTGGGGGTAATGACAGAAGAATAGCAGAAATCTAAAAATGACAGACTACTGAGAAAATAGTACATGGGGGTGTGAAGTTGAGAATTCAGTGTAATTATTGTGATCATGCCAAGATTTCCCACGATGGTTACTATATAGATCCCTAAGAAGAGGTAGAAAAGGGGCAGCTGAAACTCTGGCTGTTCAGTTAATCCCAAAAGAAGAAACACAGTCACTGTGGAATGATTTCCTATACCCATCCTTCTCTGAGAAATCTGTGGAGAGAGAAACAGTTAAGATAGGCAGAACTCCTTCGCTTCTCCATTTCCCCAGAGACCAAATGCGGTGTGGTCTAAAAATGCTGACTGCTGTGAAAACCAAAAAATTAGCACTTTGACAAAATAGAGTCAATAAGCATCTACCTACAATCCATTTTATGAAGCATAAATATACTTTCCCATCTTCCCTTGTGCCCCTTGTGCCTCAAATTCTTTTAGCAAAGGAAGAAGTCTTTCAAACCATGCTTAGGGACAACAGTAATCCTGAAGATAGTGGGGAATTTCTTCCAAAGAAAATCAGCAAAAGATGTACATAATGAAGAGGCTGGGAGCCAAGATACTTGCCAGTGACATATCTGTTTCTAGGATTTTCTATAGAGAAAATGTCGGTTGCAAAGGTCAATTATGATTCTGTACACAAAATTTCTAATGTTATTTAGCAGAATATCAACTCCAGGAAGATGTTAACAATTGTTACCTAAATCCAAGTAGCCAAGGATAATTTGAGGCATGCTGAATTATGCACAGCTAAACAGGGTTTCTTAATGTCTTAGTCTATAAAACATATATTCTTCAAACTTACTTGACGATAGGTACTGCATACTTCTTTTTAAAATGTATCTTTGCACCAGTGTGAACCAGAATATATTTTATAAAAGTCTTTTCATTTGAGTGACTACTCCATTTTTAATCTCACCATAAATAGATTTTGAGATGGAAAGTTTATTCTTCTCACACTCAAGCGAAAATTTATAATGGCAGAAAATTTGACCTCCTAAAACTGTTTGAATCTTCTGAGTGTCTGGTCACCCTCTGGACTAAGCTCTCTTCTCTCAAGGTCACTGAGTTCAACATAAGGCACTAATGTTGCCACTTTTGGCAAAGCTAAAAACTAAGCATTTGTGTTTCACTTCAGGGCTTCTCCAAAGCTCTTCTGGTCTATACATACACCTCTCCTCAGCAGGGTGAATATGGCATCAGCTTGGAAGTACCCACACCAAGGTCACGCATGGTCTCCTCTCTGAGAAATCTGATCACTTTTTATTTGGTGATGAGCTATTCCAAGGCCTCTCTGGACACTCACATTTTCCCAAATATCATGTAGAATCCTACTCAGACATCTGAACCAGAATTCTCTCCAGTTGTCCAGGATGTGCCTCTCCCTGGCTTTTAGGATGTTCTCTCCTTGCTTCCAACTGGTTATTGTGGTGTTAGGAAACACCTCTTCACCTCTCAGATCCCTCTCTCATTCTCGTTCTCTGTCTCTCTCTGTCTCTGTCTTTCTCTGTCTCTCTCTGTCTCTCTATCTCTCTGTCTCTCTTTCTCCCTACACACACACACACATTTCATGACACTCAGTAGTTATTCTCTGGGCAGGCTTCCAAATTTTGCAGAACACATACCTTGAATATCTGCTTTTCTTCTCTCCTCTTAAGAAATAGAGATAGGAAATCACAGCCAACAAAGAGCCTCAGTTGCTGTTGGCCAGTTACTGAAATACCTTGGGAGTCTTCCTTTCATAAACTCTCAGCAATTGGCTTGCACCTGTGTAGCTACAGAGATTACACAGAAAGAAGTATCAAAGAAATATTTGCAAAAACCCATATACTCCATTTTTTGCCTTTAATCTCATAGATGTTTTCAAGTATGACCTTAATCCATCCTAAGTGTCAAAAACACATTGACCACTCTCATTCTGCCACACTGCCACTAATTTTCATGGGCCTAGAACCAGAGTAAAATTTCTTTCACTTTGCCTAAGTTCTTATTTGATTCAAGTGTCCGGCATTCTTCAGCCCCTAGTCAAGCCAATGGATTTTTCTTTCTTTCATTTTCTGCTTCTCAAACAATTCTGTGCTTTAGGGCTTTACTACTAATGTGCTCCACTGATCAGCTGCCTCAGCATCTAGTGAAACTTGGGGTCCCAACCTTCACTTTCTGAGTTGGAAATCTTCATTTTTACAAGATTCACATGATCTGTGCACACATAGCCGTCTGAGAAACACTGTTTTATTCTCTCCTAAAGCTGAAATCATCTTTCTCCTTTCTTGTCTCTCTCGTTCTATCCTCTTCCTTCTCCTCCTCCTCCTCCTCCTCCTTCTTCTTCTTTGTTTCAGGAGGCATTACTTGATCATCCAAAGACCATCTCTGAAAATATCTCAAGGAAAGCCTTCTAGGAAGAGGGACAGAAATTGTAGCTTTATAGTTCAGTATTTTACCGCCTATAAATAAATTCAAAGATTCCATGGTATGTACTGAATGCATCAAATATTTTATTACAATAAACTGCATCATGTTTTTGTGTTTATAGGAAGCAACATGATACAAATATGTCTCAGTTCACATAAAATTGAGCAATGATAACCAGGACCTACTTCGTTTAACCAGTTACTAAAGTACATAGCAGTACTCTAGGTATAAAATTTTGTTAGGGATGTAAATCTGACCACCTCCAAAGTAACCTACTACAGTGACTCAGACTTAATCTAGGTTTCATGTTCTTTTAGCAACTTAAAAGTATAATATGGTATGTTAAATAAACCATATTACATATTATCAAAACTATGACTATTGAAAGTATTTTAATGAAGGTAGTTTAGATGAATGTTGCCAAACAAAAAAATTGCAGCCATGTGAGATACTTGAAATATCTTAGAAGCTCTTTATTTACTTATTTATTTATTGATTGATTGATTTCAGTTTTTGAGACAGAGTCTTGCCATGCAGTTCAGACTGGCCTTGAACTCTATATAGCCCAGGGTGACCTTGGACTCACAGCAATCCTCCTGCCTCAACCTCAAGTGCTAGAATTACAGGCATGTGCCACAATGTCCAACATAGAAGCTGAATTTTTCACAAAACCAAAATCAAACAAAAGAAATCAATTTTAGCATTTCTGTTTAACTCTATTGTGACATTACCACTTCAACATGTAATCCATATAAAAATTTCATTAAAATTTAATTTTCCTTTTTTCCTAAGCAGGACAAATCATAAAATCCACAGTGCATTTTTGCACATATAACACACCTCAAATCAAACTAGTCACATTAGACAAACTCAAGTCAAGCTCAGGAAAAATGCTGAGAAGGAAAGAGGAGTGGAGGTTTAAACCTTGGCAGTATTTTTGCAAGCCCTAAGGGCTATCGTTGAAAAAGGTTTGATCTCCTTAAGCACTGAGGGCAGTAACCACAAGGCAGATGAGGATGATGGAAGTGAATCCGAAGAGGTGTATTTGGAACCTGTGCCCACAATGGCACCTTGAACCTCCTGAAAACCAAGTTTGGGCTGAGTTTGAGTGAGATTTCTCAAGAATGCAAGATTCCTTCCCTTCAGCATATTTAAAGTTTTGTGCATTTAACCATAAATGGTACTGGTCTATGTGGGATAGTACATATTTCATTTACTTTGTTTTGGTTAAATTGGCTTCTGTTTCTAGTTAACAAATGTCCTCAAAATCCATACCAGTGCCATTGTCTTCACACAAACATAGAGAAGAAAAACCAAGCTCTTCTTCGACCACAGTATTAATCTAACGATGGAACGTTTGCTCCTTTACAGTTCTGAGACATTTCTGGGGATGTAAATAACCCCATATTCTCTGCCTGAACACAGTACGTTCCCAGTAACTCTCCCACTGCCTGTGTCGTTCTTCTGTGCCTTTCCCATTCAGCGTTCTAAGCCTGTGGCAGTAAAAGAGAAACTTCGTGCTATGTAACAATCAAGTCACTGAATCTCCTAGTTGTTAAAATCACCTACATTATATTGCAATAATAGAAAGAAAAAAGTCTCTATAAATTGTTTTTTAAAAAATTTTAGTGTGTTTTTGGGGTGTCTCTTTTTGGATGGTTATACTATTAGAACACTATTTATAGAATCTGAATGTAATTTGCATGATAAACTTCTCAGAGCATTAACCGTCAGAGTAGATTTTGCAATTTTTGCATATTTTCAGGAGCTTGTATACAAATTTTGTAAAAATTACATGAACGCTTAGATATGGTAAAATTCTCTCAGTGTGTTCAAGCAAAAGAAATGTGTCGTACTGAATAAAATTCAGAAGAAAATTTATGTAGCTGACATAAATGAGAAGCCAATTTAAGAGCTTTGCAAAGCCAGGTTCCCTTTGAAAATTCATGGAGGATTTTTGGCCTGTAATACTGCAATCAGAGAGTAAATACTTGAATATATATGATCATAGCTAAGAGGGAAAAAAACTAGTCACATTTCAATTCTTCAGTTTCCACTTACAGTGCTTATGGTAGCGGGCAGCATAGGTCAAGAATGTGATAATTTTCTCTATGACTACAGAGTTAGCAGAAAGAGCACCAATCCCTGGGTCATAAGCTTCACTTTCAACTCCAGCTTTAAGACTCACACTGTGACATTTGGACTCACTACACTCTGTGAGGTTCATGATTTAATATGCAAAAAATAAATTCTTTGGAGAAATATTTGTATGACTGAAATGAAATAAGTATAAGCAGACTATCATCAGAAGGTCTACATGAATATACTCAGAGTACATTTTTTTTGGGGGGGGGAAGGTACCGTATGCTTGCCAGGCAGGCACTTATGCTGCTGAGCTAAATCCCTGGCCCTAAAGTACATTTTAAAAGCTGGGGACTTCACAATTGATTCACAGATTAGACATCAGGACACATAGGTCAGGTGAGCAGTCAACACAGAACCAAGTCTAAGGTGATGCCTATGGTCTCTTCCCTGCATTCCTGTTACTCAGTGGGCTACACTCTAGATCTCTCAGGGCAATCCAAAGCAGATTTTAGAATGTATTTTAATACACATACGATATGAATATCATAACTCTGAAACCTCACCTTCTTCCTCCTGAAGACTGAGTTATCTCCTTTCTTCTAACCTCACCACTTTAAAAGCAAATCTGGATAATTACATCTTCTTGTTTAAATGTCTAAACAACTGCAGCTAAAAAGCTGTGATATTTATGCTTAGTTTAAGTATTT